ATCTCGCTCAGACATGCTGCAGCGCTGTGCAGTGTGCACACAGTTCTGCCGGTAATGAATATTACATTTTATGAGGAATCTTTTCCACCAATAATTCCAATAAGTATTCCAAAATGTATTCACTTCAGGTTTAAGTAATTGTAATCAGATTACTCGTTTTTCAAATGTAACGCCAGCTGAATAGTTAGCCAACTTGATTTTTGTATTCTGATTACGTAACACCGTTACATGTATTCCGTTACAACCCAACCCTGCTTCTAGGCAACTGTCCCTCAGCTCCTGCCTCTGGACTCTGTCGCTGCGGGGCTACTGCTGTGGTGCCGAGCGCACAAAGCAGACTCTTCACAACGAAGGCTCACTTCTTCTTCAAGGCAGGGAAGGTTTCGCAGTACGCAGTCTACTGTCCCGCAGCTGCTGCCTCTCTGTTGGACTCCGGTACTGCACCTTACTCACGTGACTTTGTAAAAAATGGGTGGGGGGCGAACGCACTAACCACTCCGCCAACGCCACAGTCACCCCCGTCGTGCGGGCCGGATGAGAATGTCTGGCGGACCGGATGTGGCCCGCGGGCCGCCAGTTGGTGGCCACTGCTTTAAAGGTTCCCTATTATAGGTCTCAGATATATACAGGACAAAAAGAGAGAGAATCTTTTTCCCTGAAACTTTCAGAATCTCTTTACAAAGAGGGGACACATGTTATTGTTTATATAAAAAAGACATGAAAAAGATTTTTGCATAATAGGTGACCTTTAAGAAGCAGTCCCATATTTGGGAAATGTGCCTGAGGGCAATCCAAATCTACATCCATCATCTCCATTTAGTACAGAGATAGCTCCAGGATATGTTTAGCTTCACGAAAAACTAGAACAAAGGGAAATGATGGGCCTGGCTATATAAAAAGAGTCGATATACTCCTTTCAAACCAGTTATATATTATTATTGACAAGAGGTTAAGGCAATACTAATACATTTCATTTATAGAGGGCTTTTTGAGGTACTCAAAGATGCTTCAAATATTAAGGGTAACATTTTTAACATTTCAAAATAAAAACATAATACACGATATAAATAACACATTACAAGCAGGTCCAAAAACACAGGAAGACACACTACTAGTTGTAGTTTTCTGCAAAAAGCCCTTCTCCGCAGAAAGATTCAAGTGTTCTGGGAAGAGGTGCAATAGTGAAGATCAGTTCAAAGCCGATTTGAGTGGATCCAAAGTGTTTTCTGCTGGGTTTATATCCAGAAGAGCATACATATAGTGAGAGAACATTTAGAGACCTCAGCTTTCTCTACACCAAAACCTGTATTGCATTGTTTTGGAAAAAGGCTCACAGCCCAAGCATCACTCATTGGCTGCAACGGATGCTGTCAGGCCTCCCATTAGAGAAGCCCTGAATATAATATAATACATAAGCCCTGAATGGACAAAGCCCAAAATACCTCTGTGACCTCATCCGTACCCAGACATCTACCCGCTCTCTCCGCTCCAGCCACGCTCCTCTACTTTACATCCCTCACACACGTCTCCGAACAATGGGAGACCGAGCCTTCTGCTCATTCGCCCCGCGCCTCTGGAAGTCCCTCCCAGATCAGCTGGGCCACATACAGAAAAACATACCAAGGGCTGGGCCCCTCACTAGAGGTGAGGTATATTGCCTAAGTTAAGTTATAAGTTAGCAAAATCAATCAAATCACGTTTTGATGATTGCCTTGTATTGATATATTAAAAAAGTTTGTATTAAATTGTGGGAAAAGAAAAGCCTTTTACCACTGATAAATATTGTAAATATACCTAAAAGGCTCTTGATAAAGAAACTGCCATCCCTTTTAGAGCAGGAATCTTTTTTAAATCAATCTATCTATCCATATCTTTTGTTTAGAAAGGACAGCCTTGGTGGATTCAAGTTTTTCTAAGTGTTTTCCATAACTTTTCCAGGACCTGGAATTAGCATTTTGAATTTCCATGACTTTTCCAGGTTTTTAATGACCGTAAGAACCCTGCCATAAACATTTCTTTATTCCTTTTGGTCTGAATCTTCCCGTAGCCTTTTGATTCAATTGATTCAACCTTCCCATTTCTTCTTACCGTGTCCTCCAGAACGACGTCATCACTGTCGCCGTCCCCCTCTGAGCTGCTGCTGCTGCCGCCTTCACTACACACACACACACACACACACACACACACACACACACACACACACACACACTTGTGTATATAGAATATGAGTACATTGGAGGGAAGCAGTGTTAGAGGGTGTTCTTTACCCCGTGCCTTTGTTGGCGTGCTTTGCTCTCTTAACCATGTGTTTGTTCTCCAGATCATCTATCCCAGAGTCCTTCATTAATATGTCATACACTAGGAGAGGCAGATCAAAAAAACAGATCAGAGTTTTATCATGAACAATGGCATGGATGAGTTAGTACCATCGCTGCACGATTAAACAAATGTTATAACAATCACAACAAGTGCAATAATTGTTAAAGAAACACACGGACTGAAAACACATGTACGCCAAACTACACAGTGTGATACGGCAGTAATGTACGGTACACTCTTACCTTTCTCTACTTGAAGCCTGAAAGCTATTCTGTTTCGCCTGCCGTAATCCATTCTAAAGATGAAATATAAACAGAACATTTTTTAATTGTTTATATAGACATTAATACACATTCAGTGTCCACTTTTTACTTATTATACTCTTTTTAACAATATATTATAGGTCTCTACAAAACATGTCTCTGAAGTGTTTGGCTGGAAATACCAATTATTTTGGCTAAAGTTATCGGCTAATGGCTGTACAAGCCCAAAATACATGGTGACATCACAAAGTGGCCCAAATCTGACCAGCTCCTTTTCAGACAGGTTTTTATATAAATTAATCAGGACAAAAAGTGAGAGAACTTTTTTGTCCTGAAACTTTCCGAATCTCTTTACACAGAGGAGACACAGATTTATGTATAAAAGACGTGGACAAGTTGTTAGATAATAGGTGACCTTTAAAAAAAGCAGTCTTATGCAACTGCCGTGAAATAACTCCCACTGCTATGAAGGTGCTAATGTTAATACCTAGAGGTGAGGATTCAACTGTGTGCTCATTAGTTTGTTTTATTTAAATAAGTTCTATTTAGATTTGTTATCGAAACTCATTATGGACAAGTGCAATATTCTAATCATAAGAACAATATATTTGTTAATGGCTAAATATGTTTTAAATATCATTTTGAATGACTTAACAAAATCAAAAACAAATCACACCAAGATCATTTAAAATATCTTTCAATGATAATGTGAATTCTGATTCCAAATGGATGAATTCCCTCCAATATCGTGAATCATATTGAACTATAAATCGAACTAATCGTAATTATTATTCTTTTTCCAAATGGTGAAAGTCCCTAGTTGTGATGCACTTGCCTGTGCAGTCTCTGGAGCTTCACAGCCATGGCTGACAGGTCCACATATTCACTGGAGCAGGTCGCCATGTACTGAAAACACAATTCAACATCAAGAAAATCAGACCCGGTCTCAGATGGCATTCTCATTCAAAAACACAAATAACACTAGACACAGCATAAAAGAAGGACCCAGGCTGTGACATCACTTCAGAGAGGATGCAGAGGGGAGAAGGAGGAGAGTTGGGTCCAGATAATGGAGAAAATGAGATATAAGCCGTGTCCCTCCCTTCTCATCATGGGCAATCGTAAGATCCCTGGTTAATGGAATGGACGAGCTAAGAGCGTTATACTGCTTATTTGTTACTTAATGAATAACAAGGACATGGTTTATTAAATGAATCCCAAAGACCTGATATCATACAGTGAGGCCATGGGTGTTTACCTGCTCCACTCTCTGTTTGAGCCGGTTGTCCACATAGACCCCGCTTCGGTTCTTCATGATTATTTCAACCTGACAACAAGAACAAAAGGAACATGAGAAATTCAATCACAGCATACATCCTAAATCTCTAAATACTGCAGACGGTGTAGACCAGGGGTGTCATACTCAATTTCATCACGGGCCACATCAGCATTATGGTTGCACTCAAAGGGCCGGTTGTAACTTTAAGACTATATAAAAATACATAAATATTTATATATTGATTATCGGATAGGGTAATAACTTCATCATTGACTATGTCTAGTGAAAATAATTGCAAGTCTCTTCAGTAAGAATGTCACAAAATTATTTTAAAAGAAAAGCCAAATTCTGAAAAAAAGAAGGGACATTTTGAAAAAGAAATCTAATTCTGAGAATAAAAGCATATTTTTTGAAGAAAACAAGTCCAATTCTGAGAAAAAAAAATTCCATTTTAGATGCATTGTGGGACATGTAGTTTATGGGCAACGTGCTTATGTAAAGTAGCATGTAACCGTATAATAAACATATTATATTCTTTGCAAGCTCTTGCGGGCCACATAAAATGAAGTCGCGGGCCGGATTTGGCCCCCGGGCCTTGAGTTTGATACCCCTGGTGTAGACCAATATGTAGTTCTACACACAATCAAATACAACTTCCCAACAGCCTAATGGTGTGATGAAAACAATGCATTTGCTCTTATCACATAATAACTCTTCTAAAATACATACAAAAGTGTGATACATGTATCACACTTAAAATAATCCACAAATCAGGAAAGACTGTATATGTTCAACAAGAATCTCAAGATGAACTTGGAAAAAGCAAGTCAAGGAACCTAGAGTTAAGAATATTGAAGATCGCATAATGTTAGTCCTGCAGGTCAACAATGCATCAAGCCCCAAATAAATCAGCTGTCACACATCTCTGTGATGTTACAGTAGTAGTTCACAAATGACAGACTGTCTTACCTCTTACAGAGAATGAACAATCTATGCTTTTAAATGTTTTTTTTACACCACATTATTCTTATAAAAAAGTAAACAAACAAGACTGATCAGACTATAGCAAATGCTCACATCTGGAGCTGGCTTATGTAAGAAATAATTACTATTACTAGCATTAGCTCTTCGATGTAAATAGTCATTTTATGAGCAATAAAAGTGATGTGCAGTTATCATGAGCTAACAGTTAGCTATGGTGACTGTAACACACTAGAAGAAAAATGAGCAAGTCAACCAAATCTCACGAGCATGGTTACTGAATTACACATATTTTTTAAACACAATTATGAAAAAGAGCCCTATAAAAAGTAACAGCACGCTGGTGGTACATTCACAGGTGGCTGTACTGTGGAAACATTCAGCACTGAACTAACAACACAACACATATCCAGTGATTTAAAGTCACTGTATGTCAGACAGAAACGGACATTTTTAAAGTGAAAAATGGTTACCTACCTCAAGAGAAACCGCAGTGCATCACTTATTCTGAATTATTCTGTTTAAACTGAGTTGTGTTTACAGTGTGGCAACGTGACGCGCTGACCCGGAAACAAACCTGTGGGTGAGCTTTTTTCTTCTTCTTCCCATCTAAGGTTTAACTGTAGCTGACAGTCAGTGGAGCATCACTGCCCTCTTCTGGTGAGAGGGGGCTAACTACAGAGCAGCCCTGTTCTCTCAGGTAGCTGACATCCACTTTACTCAGGTGTAACTAAGAAATGTAAAGCAAATGTGGGAGAAGTATTTATATCGTCTAGGACAGGGGTTCCCAAAG